CCGATATGAAGAACTTATAAATTCAGATGTAATTGAGAGTAACATGGGAGTGCCTCAAGGTACAGTCCTCGGTCCAATTGGATTTACTACATACTTGAATGATATTGCCCTTGTAGTTTTCCTGGCTCTCTTAATTCTATTTGCTGACGACTCTTCAGCAATCGTAAAAGGTGTATCTTCTTCTGATGTGAACTCGAAAACAGTGGCCGTTAATGAAAGCTTTGTCGGTTTCGCAAGGGACAACTTTCTTAGAATCAATTCGAAAAAGACTAAAATTTTGCAAATACATACAAGCCAAACTAGAAACCTTATCGAACCTGAAGTGAATATTCACGACCAAAAAGTAGAAATCGCAAAGACTGGTAGATTATTAGGAATCCAAGTAACTGATACCTTAAGCTGGAAAGACCAATGTGATAAGGTTGTTAATCAACTACGAAGTGTTACACATGTATTTACAAGATTGAAATATAAAGTGTCCGATGATATCCTAAAATTAATATATTATTCCCATATACAAAGTCATATAATGTACGGAATTGTGATCTGGGGGGGCTCTTGTCATTTGATTAATGTTTTTCGAGCACAAAAAAGAGCCTTAAGAGCTATGGCGGGCGTCCCATATTGGAGATCAAACGAAGCCCTGGATACATGTAAACCATTATTTATAAAATATAATATTATGACTGTGCCTTCTCTCTATATACTTGAATGTATTAAATTTCTAGTGCGGAATCGTCACCTCTTTCAAAAATATAGTGATAGTGTTGACACGAGGCGGGTGACACGAAAAAATCAAACCAATGTGTGTATAAACGATTTAGTAGTAAGGGATATTGCCCTCAAAAAGTCTGTAGAAAACCCTGATTATATGATTCCAAGAATTTTTAATGCGCTGCCAAAAAATCTAAAAACCCTCGAAAATGACGAGGAACTTGTGAAGGAGGTGAAAACTTTTGTACTTCAACACCAATTCTATGACTTAAACGAGTTTTATCGTTTGAATAATGCCATGTATCTTGACTTATTTTAAAAAGTATTATTGCTACCGCAAATTAATGCTTAACAAAATAAAGAATATTTGAAATTGAAATTGAAATTGAAACTGAAAAGGAATGATCCTAACTGTGACAGATTAAGAAGTCTTAAATTCAAATATAAAAGTAAACAAAAGTACGTTGGCTTTCTCATAAATGATGCAGTCCGAACTCACAATGACCAGAAAATGTTAAAAGCCTCTAATAAGACTGGTATGGCCTGGAAAATTATTAACGAAACTTGCAACTTGAACCAAGATAAACACGAAAATGATATTAAGCAAATTGAAATTGATGGTGAAATGGAAAAGGATTTACAGAAAATTTGCAACTTTTTAAATAAAAAATTTGTTGAACCTCAGGTAAATCTTAGTAGTGATGAAATTGAACTCTGTACTGAGAGTATTGTTTCAAATGGAATAAAATTTACTGCTCAGCCTGACGTTACCCCATTTGAAATAGAAAAAATTTTGAAGTTATTCCCGTCAAAGAAATCATCTAGCTGGGATGGATTATCTATGGATACGTTGAAAAAGATTTCTGGTTATATAGTGTTCCCTGTGGCATTTATGGTGAACGAGTCGTTTCGCACTGGTAAATTCCCGGAAGTGCTAAAATTAACTGTAATCAAGCCATTGTACAAAAAGAAGGGTGAGAAATCCGATGCTAGTAGTTATCGCCCAATAGCCTTAACATCTTCTGTAGCAAAAGTATTTGAGAAATGTTTCCTAAATAGAATTTAAAGCTATTTCGCTGAAAACAATCTCCTTGCGGACGAGCAGCACGGTTTTCGAAAAGGCAGGAGCACAGTGACTGCACTTTTTAAGTTAGTGTCCGAAATCTACGATTCGTTGGAAAATAGAGAAAAAAACAATGTGATTCTGTATGACTTTTCTAATGCCTTTGGGTGTGTCGTTCCCGAAATACTGCTTGCAAAACTGAAAAAATTTGGAATTGATGATGTATCCCTCCTTTGGTTAAAGTCCTTTCTTACTGATAGAAAACAACTTGTTCAACTTTTCGGTGTGGGTGAAAATGGCGAGCAAAAATTATTTGAGTCAACAATGGAAAATGTTTCGATTGGCGTACCACAAGGAACAGTATTGGGTATTCCTCCTACGGTAATGATATGCCCTTAAAAATCATTGTCGCCGCTCTTATCTTGTTCGCAGATGATTCATCTTTTATTGTAAAGGCTAGAAACTACAAAGCCTTGAGCGAAAAAACTGCTGTGGCTAATGACAAAATGATTGATTTTGCCAGTAATAACCGCTTAAGATTGAACGAAAAGAAAACTCAGGTGCTGCAAATGCATACTGCTCAAACTAGTTAATTGGAACCGCCTGTAATCAGAATTAACGACGCTGAAATTGAAGTGGTAAATCAAGCAAAAATACTTGGTGTAATGCTCTCTGATACAATGAACTGGAGCACCCAATGCGATCAGGTTGTAGCGAAACTGAGAAGTACCACGTACCTTTTTGTTAAATTAAGGCAGCGCATTCAAACTAAATTGCTAAGAGATGTATATTTCGCCCATGTTCAAAGTCACTTACTATACTCAATTGTAATTTGGGGTGGGTCGCCTATGTTGGAAAAGGTTTTCATTGCTCAAAAGAGAGTTATCCGTGCGATGGCAGGTAAAAGATACTGGAAGGCATTGACACCTGTCGAGTCTTGCCGACCACTTTTTGAAGAATTTCAGATCCTGCCAGCTTTCTCTGTGTACGCCTTTGAATGTGTTAAATTTTACAAAAAGTATCCTGAATTGTTCCTCAAAAATTCTGAAAGCAAGGTGCACCAGAATCGCAGTACTCGAAATAAACCTATAGCGGAGCAAGACTTATTTGTCAAACCAAACAGACTGTTGCTGACTGCGCAGTCCCCTCACATCATGATCCCTAGAATTTTCAATCATCTTCCCGATAGAATCAAAAGCATTGATAGTTATCAAGTGTTTAAGAAGGAATTGGAATTAATATTCTACGACAAAATGTTCTATGACGTGCATGAATATTTTTTGTGTAAAATTGTGTGAACTGTATTTTAAATTTAGTAAGCTGTATTATAGTTATATTGAGATATAGCTGTATTACAGTGACCAGTGACCTATTCCAAAGATTATTTCTGTACATATGTTGATCTATACGGAATAAATATTATCTGAATCTGAATCTGTGTTCACTTAGCACTTGTTTCAGTTTCAGGGTGAATGTCTTTTGATCTTCAATTTGTTTTAACAATGTTTTTTTTAAATTTATAAAAATTGAAATTTAATTTAAAAATAAAAATAATTAATATTAATTAAATTTTAGTTCTAAAAAATTTAAAAAATGGGATTGATTTTGTAAATATTTTACACATAAAATTAATATTAATAATTTATATTTAATTAATATAAATTAAAATAAATTTATTTAAATTAGAGCATTAAAAAAAATTAATTGTCACCAGCTGGTGAAATCAAGAGCTAAATTCACCAGCGGTTGATGTTTTTTTTTCTTTGTTAAAATTTTTATAAATTGAAATTTAATATATAATTTATAAATAAAATTAATTACATTTAATTAAATTTTAATTCTTAAAATTAAAAAAGGTGTAATTTTATAATTATTTTATAAATAAAATTAATATTAATATACTAAATTTAAATTTGTTTAAATTTGTAAATTTAAAAAAAAAAATAAATGTCACCAGCTGGAGAATTCACCAGCACAATTCACCATTTGAATTAAAAAGCTCAATTTACCAGCTCAATTCACCAGCTGGTGAATTAAGCTGATGAGGTTTTTAATATTTTTTATAATTATTAAAAATTGAAATTTAATTTATAAATAAATTAATTTAAATTAATTAACTTTTAATTCGAAATTTAAAAAAAAAAATAATTGTCACCAGCTGGTGAATTCACAGGCTCAATTCACAAGCTGATGAGGTTTTTTTTTTAATTATCAAAAAACAATAAAAGGGATTAATATTATAAATATTATATAAATAAACTTAATACTAATTAATTAAATTAAATTTTTTTTAATTAAAAACCTTTAAAAAAATTATAGTCACCAGCTGGTGAATTCACCAGCTCAATTAACCATTAGAATTAAAACGCTCAATTTACCAGCTGAATTTAGCTGGTGAATTAAGCTGGTTAATTAAGGTGGTGAATTCACCAGCTAAATACACCAGCAGGGGATGTTTTTTTCATTTTTTAAAATTTTAAAAAATGAAATATATTTTATCAATAAATTTTTTTTTAAATATTTAAATTTTAATTTTTAAAAAAGGGATTAATTTTATAAAAATTTTATAAATAAAATTAATATTAATGACTTCAATTAAATTTATAAAATTCAAGCTGGTGAATTCAATTGGTGAATTCACCAGCTGAATCCACCAGCTGGTGATGTTTTTTTTTTAAATTTATAAAAATTTAAATTTTATTTAAAAATAAAATTCATTAATTTTAATTCAATTTAAGTTTTAAAAAATTTAAGAAATGGGATTAATTTTATAAATAAAATTAATATTAATAGATTAAATTAAACTTCTTCCCAAAAAATTAATAAAAAAATCCAACTGAATTAATCTGACATACCTGCCGATTACGAGTGACTCGCTGCGAGCTGCCAGACTTTCTGGGCTGATTTTGCAGAGTATTTATGCACCAGTGGCCTCCAGTCATTCAAGGGCACGGAGCAGGACGCCCTGATAAAGGTTGCCGCCACTTGAAGACTCTGCTGGAGTCTCCGATGCTAAAATCGTCGTGCACCGACCGGCCGCAAATGGGCGGACTGGCCTCTCCTGACAAAAAAAAAAATGGCCATTGAGATGAAAATAAAACTTGATCAACTTCGAAGCATTGAAGAGACATCAATTAAGAGACATTTAAGAATGTTTAAATCGTCCCAAAAAATTAAAAAAAAATTCCAACTGAATTATTTTTACAAACCAACAAATGGCGAGCGACTCGTTCCGAGCTTCCAGGCTTTCTAGTCGGGACTTCATGGAGTGAATGGGCACCAGGTGCCTCCTCTCATTGAAGGGCAGCATGCAGGACGCCCTGCAGAAGGATGGTGCCACTGAAGACTGTGCTTGACTGTGCTGGTGCTTGACGAGGCTACAACAGTCTTCAGCGGAGATGCATGCACAGGAGGCGGCCTGGCATCGCCTGGAAAATTAAAGGCCATTGAGCTTAAAAAATTTCATGAGCAACTTAAGAGAGTCATAGGGTATCAGTTAAAACTCATTCTGAGTGAATAAATCATCCCCAAAAATTATTACAAAAATCCGACTGAATTAATTTCACAAACGAGCTAGCGTCCGAACCTCCACCTGCCCTTGTTGTTCTTTTTCCGCCGACGTCGTGCGTACTTGAATGTGGGGCCCACGGCCCTCGGCATGGGCCCATTTCGAGCCCAAACCGCGACACCCCGACCAACGAACTTTTCGCTTGGTCGCTCGAGTGAAAAGTGGGGCGTGGGGCGTCGGCGTCTCTCTCTGCGGCCTGCGATGCTTTTTTGTTTGACCCGCGAAGAAGCATCGTGAAGTTAGCCAGAGATCCTAGCCAGTCATCGGAAGTTAGCTAGTTGGCTGGAAATTGGCCACTCGCGTCATTTGGGCGGATGTATCGAATATCGATTCCCGATTTTTTAAAGTGGAGAGCGTAGGGGAGGTGACTTTTTATCGCAACGTTTTACAGTTGACCTTCTAATATTCTTCTCATACACCAAGTCGCAGCAATAAATCGCAGTGTTCTAAAAGAGCACGGAGGAAGGAATATGAGAAGCTAATTTGAAAAACAGTTCCAATGGCCTTAAAAAAATTTTATTTAAAAGTAAATACAACGAAAATTAATCACGTCGAGGGACGCATGGATAAAACGGGTAAAACTAAAAATATTATAAATTCCGTACGCTTATCATGTACATTATTTGCAAATTTTTTACTGCGAATTTTGAACAAAAAAAATATTTAAATTTAATCTACATTCTAAATATGTAAAATAGGCAACTTCACTTTCACGCAATTTCAAATATTAAAAATTAAAACAATAAATTTTAGAAAAATTTTGCGCTAAAACCATGCATTGGAGTAAAATGAAATTATAATCGAAAATAACCTTCATCATCCTGTCTATAAAATCTGCCAGCGTAACTGTTTTTTTCAAAAGAAAAAGTTAATGTTATCTTGTATGATTTCTCAAATGCTTTTGGCACTCTTCATCCACCTCTCCTTGTATATAAATTAAAACAGTACGGTCTAAATGAGAACTTGCTCTCGTGGTTGGACTGCTTATTATCAAATAGGAAACAATTTGTACAACTTAAGAACCTTGGCTGTGATGGATACGAGGCGTTTATTAACTCGCAGGGGTGTGCCGCAAGGCACAGTTCTCGGCCCAATTGGGTTTTCCATGTATTTAAATGATATTCCCCTTGCTGTATTCTTGGCCCTCCTGATTTTGTTCGCCGACGATTCAATTCAATTCAATTCAATATAATTTTATTTTGGTATAAGCTAACGTACACAATGTATACAGCTTTTACAAAACATGTCAATAAAGGATATATTCTAGTCTGATTCTAAAGTAATCATAGTTTTTAAAGCAAAAAATTCACTCATGTCATAAAACTGGTTTTCCATCACGTAATATTTCACATTTTTCAATAGTTCTTCATCAGATTTACATCTTTTTATATTAATAGGCAGCGCATTAAAAACTCTAGGTACCATAACAGCAGGACTTTCTACAGTTATTTGGAGTCTACACCTATTTTCAACGAGATCATTCTCACTCACATTAGACTGATTGCCACGCGTAACTTTCCTGCTGTCCACTACTCCGGGGTCACTATACCTTTTAAACATTTTGCGATTTCTAACAAGGAACTTAATACACTCGAGGATATAAAGGGAGTAGACAGTTAATATTCCGTATCTTTTAAACAGTGGTTTACAAGATTCCAGAGCCTTATACCACTTTCCATAATATAATCCAGCAAGGGCACGCAAAACTCTCTTCTGGGCTACGAATACATCTGACATATTACTAGAGCCACCCCAGACAATAATTGCATACAAGATATGACTCTGTACATGGGCAAAGTAAATCATTTTCAAAACATTATCCGATACTTTATGTTTCAGTTTGGTAAATTGATATGTTACGGACCTTAGTTTATTCACAACATGTTTACAGTGCTCAGCCCAATTCATAGTATCAGTTATTTGCACGCCAAGAAGTTTACTATGAGCTACTATTTCAACCTCTTTTTCGTTAATTTTAATCACTGGTGCCACGAGATTTCTAGTTTGATGGGTATGAATTTGAAGTAATTTAGATTTGTCACAATTAATTTTTAGGTGATTTTGTTTAGCAAAGTCTATAAAGTCACTATTAGTCATTTCAGTCTTGTTATTTAAATCACCAAAATTTTCACCTCGTATTATTGCAGTTGTATCGTCAGCAAATATAACAAGTAACGCCGCCACAATACTGAGGGGCATATCATTAATATACGTTGTAAAGCTTGTAGGACCAATTATCGTACCCTGTGGCACACCCATATCACTCGAGATAATATCAGACTTAATTTCAGTTACAAAGTGATCACAACCGATATTTTGCAATTGTACATATTGTTTACGATTCGTCAAGAAGCTGAACAACCATGCGAGCGATTTACAGTCCAAACCATATTTCTTTAATTTCTCAATTAATAAAGGAGGATATAGAGTGCCAAAGGCATTACTAAAATCATATAATATTACATTTACTTTTTCCTTGGCTTCTAGAGCGTCATACAAGTTCGTTACATAATTATAAAGAGCAGTGACTGTACTTTTATATTTGCGAAAGCCATGTTGTTCTGGTGAGATAATGTTACAACTATCTAGGTGTTGTTCAAGCCGGCTTAGGTAAGCTTTTTCAAATATTTTCGATATTGAGGGTGTTATTGCGATAGGTCGGTAATTTGATGGGTCTTCTCGTTCACCTTTGTTTTTAAATATTGGGATAATTTTTGAGAGCTTCATATTATCCGGAAATTTACCTTCGGAGAATGAATTGTTAATAATATATGTAAGTGGCAAAGTAATATACAGCGATATTTTTTTAAGTACATTTACGGAGATGCCATCCCACCCTGATGAATTTTTAGAAGGGAGGTTTTGAATTATACTGTATATTTCATAATCAGACATGGGTTCGAGATGAAATTCAGGGAATAGCGGTTCACTATCACAAATATTATCATGCGGAGCAGCTGGCTTATTTTCAACAAACATTTGATTGAGGTAGTTAGCTATATTTAATTGAACGTACTCTTTTTTATTAGCAGTATTTAGTTCCCTAATTGGTGCTAGACACTTGTTTATTCCTATAGATTCATTGATAATTTTCCATGCGGCGCTAGATTTATTATTAGATCCATTAATTTTTTTATCATTATATTGCCGTACTTCATTGTTAATACATTCTCCGACCTGTTTCTTCATCATTTTTATTTTATTTTTTAATACAGATTTCTGTTCGGGATTATTTGTAATTTTACTTTTTTGAGACAATTCTAGTAATTCTTGCCTCAGTTTTTTTGTTTCAGCAGATAGTTTTATTTTCCCGATTTGATTGGCTCTATTCACAGTTTTTTTCATTGGGAAGGATTCACCAAAATAACTTATTAATTTACTCATGAATACTTCGCTTTGCTTATCGACACTAATCTCATTATACACTGCGCTCCAATTTTCATTTTGTAAAAAGTTAGAGAATTTTTGCCAATTTAATTCATTATAGTCTCTAATAAATGAAAAAGAATCCTTTGCTTTTATAATCGGAATATCCATACTTGCGTGGACTGCATTGTGATCAGAGAATGGCGCTGGGAGTACAGCACAGGTAGTAGCACATGAAATATTAGTATAAATATGATCTATTAAGGAGCCAGAATTATTTTCCTCTCGAGTATTTTGAGTGTTATTAACCAGGCGAAGGGAAAATGAGTTTGTTATTGATTGTAAATTCACAGCATGAGAATTATCATTATTTAAGTTTATATTAAAATCACCAGCTATTATTAAATTTTCATGAAATCTCTTTTGACCAACTAGTGTTTCAAATTGCTCTAGAAATTTAGGGATTTGGCAATTAGATTTTAGATTATTTGGTCTATATAAACCTAATAAGCTTATTTTCCTATTATTGAATATTATCGAGGCACCACAGATTTCAAACTTCTTTGGGATAGATTTAATTTTTAATTTTTGAACTTTGCAATCTAATGAATTATTTTTAAGTATCAACACTCCTCCTTGTTCTTGATTCGCTCTACCAAAATACGCAATGAGTTGATAACCATCAATTAGAAAATTAGTTACTTCTAGTTCATTTAGCCAATGCTCAGTCACAAAAATGAGATCTGGTTTCTTATCCAGATTATAAATAAAATCACTAAAAAGTGCTAACTTATGTGGCGTACGTAGGCCCTGCGCATTTAAATTCAGTATTGCTAAATTATTATTTCTGCTCTTATTATTAATATTACTATCTACGACGATTACTATCTACGGGAATTCTTAGTGCAAAACAGAAATCTATTTCGGAAATATAGTGATACTGTAGATACGAGGAGAGTGACTAGACATAATCAGACTAATCTTTGCTGTAACGATTTGGTTGTGAAAGAAGTTAAGCTCAAGAAAACTGTAGAAAACCCAGAAATCATGATCCCCAGAATTTTTAATGCATTACCTAAATCTTTAAAATTCCTTGAAAATGACGAGGCTCTTGTAAAAATGGTGAAAGCTTTTGTATAGGAACATCAATTCTATGACCTGAACGAATTTTATCGTTTAAATAATAATGTATATTGACTTATTTTAAAAAGCTGTTATTACTATGTATATTATGTGGTATAAAATGCTTAACAAAATAAACAAATCTTGAATCTTAATAAAAATAATTAAGAGTCATTAAATTTTACTCGGGGCGGCATTGCACACAAACTATGCATTGGAAGTTAATGAAATTTTAATCAAAGTTACCCTTCATCATCCTGAACAAGAAAAACACCCAACCATCGATGGCCGCATCAGTTTTTTAACAAATAAATTTGAAAGTTAGAAAAAATGGAAAAAATGCAATAATAAAACTAGATTTGAATGTATAAATCTTCCCAAAATATTAATAAAAAAATCCAACTGAATTAATCTGACATACCTGCCGATGACGAGTGACTCGCTGCGAGCTGCCAGACTTTCTGGGCTGATTTTGCCGAGTATTTGAGCACCAGTGGCCTCCATTCATTCAAAGGCAGGGAGCAGGACGCCCTGATAAAGGTTGCTGCCACTTGAAGACTCTGCTGGAGTCTCCGATGCTAAAATCGTCGTGCACCGACCGGCCGCAAATGGGCGGACTGGCCTCTCCTGGCAAAAAAAATGGCCATTGAGATGAAAATAAAACTTGATCAACTTCGAAGCATTGTAAGGTATCATTAAGAGACATTTAAGAATGTTTAAATCGTCCCAAAAAATTAAAAAAATTCCAACTGAATTATTTTTACAAACCAACAAATGACGAGCGACTCGTTCCGAGCTTCCAGGCTTTCTAGTCGGGACTTCATGGAGTGTATGGGCACCAGGTGCCTCCTCTCATTGAAGGGCAGCATGCAGGACGCCCTGCAGAAGGATGGTGCCACTGAAGACTGTGCTTGACTGTGCTGGTGCTTGACGATGCTACAACAGTCTTCAGCGGAGATGCATGCACAGGAGGCGGCCTGGCATCGCCTGGAAAATTAAAGGCCATTGAGCAACTTAAGAGAGTCATAGGGTATCAATTAAAACTAATTCTGAATGAATAAATCAGCTGGTTATTTTTAATTTTTTTAAAAATTTCCAAAAAATGAAATGTTTTTTATAAATAAAATCATTTAAATTTAATTAAATTTTATTTTTATAAAATTTTAAAAAACGGGATTAATTTTATAAATATTTTATACATAAAATTAATATCAATTAGTTAATACAATTAGTTAATGAATTAATATAAATAAAAATAAATTTTTTTATATTTGAGAATTAAAAAAAAATTATTGTCACCAGCTGGTGAATTCAAGAGCTAAATTAACTAGCGGGTGATGTTTTTTTCATTTATTTTTTTTTAAATTTTTGTAAAATGAAAATTAATGTATAAATTATTAATAAAATTAGTTTAATTTAATTAAATTTTAGTTCTTATAATTAAAAAAAGGGGGAATTTTATAATTATTTTATAAATAAAATTAATTTTAATAAATTAAACTGAAATTTTTTTTCATTTGTAAATTAAAAAAAAAACAATTGGCACTAGCTGGTGAATCCACCAGCTAAATCCACCAGCTGGTGATGTTTTTTTTTAAATTTATAAAAATTGAAATTTAATTTAAAAATAAAAATCATTAATATTAATTAAATTTAAGTTTTAAAAAATGGGATTAATTTTATAAATAAAATTTATATTAATAAATTAAATTCAACTTTTTTAAAAAAGGAATATTAAAAAAAAAATATTCACCAGCTGGTGATGTTTTTTTTTTAAATTTTAAAAATCGCAATATAAATCATAAATAAAACTAATATAAATATAAAAATTTAATTTTTAAAAAATTTAGAAAAAAAATTAAATTTATAAATGTTTTATAAATAAAATTAATGTTAATAAATTTAATTTAAATTTTAAATAAATTAGAAAATTTTTAAAAAAAAAGTTGACACCAGGTGATGCGTTCACCAGCTAGTGATGTTTCTTTTTATTTATTATTATTAAAATTTTTAAAAAAGAAATTTAATTTAAAAATAAAAGTGAATTTCAATTTATTAAAATTTACTTTATATGAATTATAAAAAGGATTAATTTTATAAATAAAATAATATTAATAAATTAAATTAAACTTTTTTAAATAAGGAAATTTTAAAAAAATAACTATCACCAGCTGGTGAATTCAGCTATATTCACCAGCTGGTGATGTTTTTCTTTTTAAATTTTTAAAAATCGAAATATAAATTAAAAATAAAATTTATTTAAATAAATAAAATATTAATTTTTAAAATATTAAAATAAGGGCTTAATTTTATAAATAAAATTAATATTCATAAATTAAATTTAAATTTTTTTTTAAATAAATAAGAAAATTAAAGTAATTCAAAATCAAATAGTAAAATTACGGATTTTCTTGAACATCTGGATACAATTCTTATGCAAAATAGATTTAGTGGTAATGTGATATTAGCAGGTGATCTCAATATTGACTTGATGAGTAAAAGTGAGCATAGTATAAAATTAAGGGAGATTATGAAATTTCATAATTATAATCTGTTAAATGATAATGAAATAACTAGAATCAATCAGAGCGGAGGTACATTGCTAGACCATGTTTACGCCAATTTTAAATTAGAGAGCGCATTTACAATAATTCCCATGTATTTCTCAGACCATAGTGCCGTCTCTGTGGTGACTGACCTTCCAGTTGAAAAAATTAAGGATACTTTCAAATATGTTAGGAGCTATACAGATGAGAATTACCTAAATTTCTTCGCTATCCTTGAACAAGAAAACTGGGAACAAGTTTACCAAACTAATTGAATTGATATTAAGAGTAAATTATTTATGGAAACTCTTGTATCACACTTTGAGAAGTCGTTCCCTTTGAAGCGTGTTATACAAAGAGCAAATCAGATGGGTAAAATTAGGCTGACAGAGGATACCAAAAAACTACAAAGGGAGATGATTGCACTCAGTAAAGAAATTAATTCTAATCTAGACCAACTTAAAACTGGATATGAAACAAAAACTAAAGCGTTTAAAGAGGGAAGTTGTGAGTAATATACAAAAAGAAAGTAAAAAGGTCAATGATAATAAAATACTAGGGGCAAAAAATAAATCCAGCGCAGCATGGAAAATTATAAATTCCCAATCTGGTAAAAATAAAAATGTAGAGTTGATACAGGAACTTAATATTAATGGAACAAGAGAAATAATTAAATTAAACATTGCTAATTGCCTGAATAATGGATTTATTGAACCATAGCCTGATGTAAATAATGTGAATATTCATGATTGCTCAAAACTCATAGGTGATACATGTGTTACACAAGATTTACAATTGATGGCAGAATTTGAAATTTATAGTATTATTAATAACCTCTCATCCAAAACCTCCTCAGGGTGGGATGGAATATCAACTACCGTATTAAAGAAAATTTCTAAATACATAACAGCCCCGCTTACTCATCTTATTAATGTGTCATTTACAGAAGGAAAATTCCCCGAAAATATGAAACTAGCAAAAATTATACCATTGTTTAAAAAAGGAGATAAAGAAGACCCTTCAAATTATAGACCAATTGCGATTACATCATCAATATCAAAGGTGTATGAGAAAGCTGTATGAAAAAAAAAAAAAAAAAAAAAAAAAAAAAATAAAAAAATAAACTTCTGAAAGCTACAGCAAAAAATATAAAAATTTTTTCTAAAGAGATGTTTTTTGAATTCTGTGCAAGCAAATTAATAATGCAGTCCGAAAATATTAATATTATTGGTGTCTATCGGCCGAGTAATTCAAAGTCAAATAGTAAAATTCCAGAATTTCTTGAACACATTGATTCAGTTCTTATGCAAAACAGGTTTTGTGGTCATACAATATTAGCAGGAGACTTTAATATCGATCTGATGGTTAATGACGAAAATTGTATAAAACTTAAAGAAATCGTAAAATTACACAACCTAACCTTGCTAAATGAAAATAAAATAACTAGAGTAAATAAAAATGGGGGAACCTTACTAGATCATGTTTATGCAAATTTTAACTTGGAGAGCACATTTAACATAATTCCAGTTTTGTTCTCAGACCACAGTGCTGTGTCAGTATCAGTTAAACTGCCAGTAGAGAAAATTAAAGACACTTTCAAATATATAAGAAGTTATACTGAAGAGAATTATCTGAATCTTTTCTCCCTCCTCGAGCAGGAAAGTTGGGAGCAAGTTTTCCAGGCTAGCTCTGTGAATGAAAAAAGTGAAATCTTCATGGGCATTCTTGTTAAATATTTTGAAAAATCTTTCCCATTAAGACGTGTTGTTATCAGGGCTAACCAAATCGGTAAAATCAAATTGACAGATGAGACAAGGCAGTTACAAACCAAAATGATTAATTTAAGTCAAGAAATAAAATCAAATTTAGATCACAAGGTCAAGACTGAACTGAAGCTAAAACTGAAACACATGAAGAAGGAAGTTGTTAATAAAATACAAATAGAAACAAAGCAAGTAAATGATACCTAATGTACTGAAAGAAATATCTGACTATGGCAACTTTGTTAAAAGTGTCAAATTTGTAATGCTGAAGTGTCAATACTATGATATGAATGAATATTGGACATGTAAATTTGAATGCCTAAATTTGGAAGAGTGAGACTCAGCTGCAGGGTTTTCGGGGGTGGTTTTCCCCTGCAGTATTTGAGGTGGGATAGTCAAATGCTTGCCCACCCCCGCCAAATTATCAATGGCGTGCGAGCTCCCTCAATCGCTCCCTCAATTACTCACTTATTGAATGTTATAGTTAAAATTTTTTGGAGGTTTTATTTTGCTATTTTATTGACTTGTTGTAAAGACAAATTGGTGATGTATTACATATGTCTAATGCAATAAATTTTGATCTAATCTAATTTACCAGCTCAATTCACCAGCTGGTGAATTAAGCTGGTTCATTCATTTGGTTAATTCACTAGCTCAATTCACCAGCTGATGAGGTTTTTTTTTTATTTTTCAAAATTATTAAAAATTGAAATTTAATTTATAAATAAATTAATTTACTTTTAATTTTTAATTTGAAATTTAAAAAAAAAATAAGTGTCACCAGCTGGTGAATTCACAGGCTCAATTCACAAGCTGATGAGGTTTTTTTTTTAATTATTAAAAAATGAAATATTATTTATAAGTTAAATTTATTTAAATTAATTAAATTTTAATTGTTAAAAAACAATAAAAGGGATTAATATCATAAATATTATATACATAAACTTAAAAATAATTAATTAAATTAATTTTTTTTAATTAAAAAATTAAAAAAAAATTATAGTCACCAGCTGGTGAATTCACCAGCTCAATTAACCAGCTGAATTTAGCTGGTGAATTAAGGTGGTTCAATTTCAATTTCAATTTCAATTTTTTTTTCACCAGCTAAATACACCAGCAGGTGATGTTTTTTTATTTTTTTAAAATTTTAAAAAATGAAATATATTTTATCAATAAAATTATTTTAAAATATATAAATTTTAATTTTTAAAAAAAGGGATTAATTATATAAAAATTTTATAAGTAAAATTAATATTAATGACTTCAATTAAATTTATAAAAAAAAAAATATAATTTAATTTATAGTTAATTTATTTTCATTATATTAAATTATAAATTTAAAAAAAATTTGAAAAAAGGGATAAATTTTATAAATATTTTAGAAATAAAATTAATATTCATTAATTTAATTCTAATTTTTTTAAATTTGAAAATTTTTTAAAAAACATTTGCACCAGCTGGTGATGTTTTTTTATTTTTCTAAAATTTTTAAAAAATGAAATATAATTTATAAATAAAATTATTGTATATTAATTAGAATTAATTTTTTTAAAATAAAAAAAGGATTAATTTTAGAAATATTTTATAAATAAAATTAGTATTAATGAATGAATTTTTTTTTATTTTTGAGAATTAAAAAAAAATAATTGTCACCTGCTCTTGAATTCAGTTGGTGAATGCACCAGCTGGTTATTTTTAATTTTTTAAAATTTCCAAAAAATGAAATGTAATTTATAAATAAAATTATTTTAATTTAATTAAATTTTAGATTTATAAAATTTTGAAAAACGGGATTAATTTTATAGATATTTTATACATAAAATCAATATTATTTAATTAATACTTCATTTATATAAATAAAAATAATTTTTCTTATATTTGAGAATTTAAATGGGCTGAAAAAATGAATTAATTTTAAAATAAAAATTCTATGATGTTTTAAAAAGAGTTCTTACCTTTTATTAGTTGCAGGCACCATGGAGAAACTATGAATGCTTTAAAAATGCTGGATGTGCTCCAGGTGAGCCTCTGGCACAAACCCTGGTTTGAAGTCGAGACTGAACGGGATGAAAAAATGAATTAATTTTAAAATAAAAATTTAATATGATTTTAAATTGAGTTCTTACCTCTCATAGCCAGCAGGCACCAAGCAGAATCGTTGAGTGGCTTGAAAAGAGCTGGATGTGCTCCAGGGGGAGAGCAGTGTACATTCCGATATAATGAAAGGGGGCTACCTTCGGAGGAAATGGTACGAATGCGCTGAAAATACAAATACAAATGAATTAATATTTTTTAATTAAAACATTTAAGCCCCATCGAATTCATGACTAATTCGACCCCAAATTAACGGCCACCCTCGTTGACCCCCATTTGGCCGACAAATTACAGACCACGCCCCCTTTTTCCAATTAAATTCAAACCCCAATCAACGGCCACCTTTGCCCCCTCGAATTCCCGACTAATTCGACCCCAAATTAAGGGCCACCCTCGTTGAACCCCATTTAGCCGACAAATTACAGACTGCGCCCCCTTTTTCCGACTAAAATTCAACCCCAAATTAACGGCCACTTTTGCCCCCTCGAATTCCCGACTAATTCGACCCCAAAATAACGGCCGCCCCCGTTTACCCCGATGTAGCCCACAAAATAAAGACCACACCCCCCTTTTCCACGATTTTCCGACATTCGGGGCCATAAATTACCCTTACCTCACGCTTTTCTTCGTCGTGGGGCTTCCTTTTGGTGCGCATCGTCGGCGTGCTGCCTACTTTTCCTTGTTTTCATTTCGCAGCAGTTCGTTCCGCGTTCGTTCCATGTTTCCTGTTGATGGGGGACCTGCTCTCTGTAGGGGAGGGTGCCACGCCCCCTTCCCCTTGCTTGTTGACGGAACAATTTTCTTCGCCTTTTACCTTTAAGATGTGAAATATAATTAATAAATAAAATTATTTTAAACTGATTAAATTTTATTTTTATAAAATTTCAAAAACGGGATTGATTTTGGAAATATTTTACACATAAAATTAATATTAATTAATTTATACTTAATTAATATAAATTAAAATAAATTTATTTCAATTAGTGTATTAAAAAAAATAAATTGTCACCAGCTTGTGAAATCAAGAGCTAAATTCACCAGCGGTTGTTTTTTTTTTTTGTTAAAATTTTTATAAATTGAAATTTAATATATAATTTGTAAATAAAATTAATTTAATTTAATTTTAATTCTTAAAATTAAAAAAAGGTGTAATTTTATAATTATTTTATAAATAAAATTAATATTAATATACTTAATTTAAATTTGTTTAAATTCTTAAACTTAAAAAAAAAAAAATAATTGTCACCAGCTGGAGAATTCACCAGCTCAATTCACCATTTGAATTAAAAAGCTCGCGGCTAGCCGAATACTTTACTCCATTGTAATCTGGGGTGGCTCTACACACATGAAAGATGTTTTTCTAGCGCAGAAGCGAGTAATAAGAGCAATGGCTGGTGTTCAATACTGGAGAAGTAACTCGGCGCTAGACTCATGTAGACCACTATTTGTGAAATTTGGAGTTCTTACAGTCTATTCATTATATATTTTGGAGTGCGTTAAGTTTGTGCGTAAATTTCCTGAAAAGTTTAATCGGAATCGGGATGTTCCAGGTGTAGTAGTGCGAACTACGCGTGCTACCAGCTACGTCGACACTGATTTGTTTGTAAGGCCAAGCTCACTAAATTGCGTAAATGAGAGTCCGGAGATAATGATTGCCAGAGTATATAATAAACTACCTAATGTACTGAAAGAAATATCTGACTATGGCAACTTTGTTAAAAGTGTCAAATTTGTAATGCTGAAGTGTCAATACTATGATATGAATGAATATTGGACATGTAAATTTGAATGCCTAAATTTGGAAGAGTGAGACTCAGCTGCAGGGTTTTCGGGGGTGGTTTTCCCCTGCAGTATTTGAGGTGGGATAGTCAAATGCTTGCCCACCCCCGCCAAATTATCAATGGCGTGCGAGCTCCCTCAATCGCTCCCTCAATTACTCACTTATTGAATGTTATAGTTAAAATTTTTTGGAGGTTTTATTTTGCTATTTTATTGACTTGTTGTAAAGACAAATTGGTGATGTATTACATATGTCTAATGCAATAAATTTTGATCTAATCTAATTTACCAGCTCAATTCACCAGCTGGTGAATTAAGCTGGTTCATTCATTTGGTTAATTCACTAGCTCAATTCACCAGCTGATGAGGTTTTTTTTTATTTTTCAAAATTATTAAAAATTGAAATTTAATTTATAAATAAATTAATTTACTTTTAATTTTTAATTTGAAATTTAAAAAAAAAATAAGTGTCACCAGCTGGTGAATTCACAGGCTCAATTCACAAGCTGATGAGGTTTTTTTTTTAATTATTAAAAAATGAAATATTATTTATAAGTTAAATTTATTTAAATTAATTAAATTTTAATTGTTAAAAAACAATAAAAGGGATTAATACCATAAATATTATATACATAAACTTAAAAATAATTAATTAAATTAATTTTTTTTAATTAAAAAATTAAAAAAAAATTATAGTCACCAGCTCAATTAACCAGCTGAATTTAGCTGGTGAATTAAGCTGGTGAATTAAGGTGGTTAATTCACCAGCTAAATACACCAGCAGGTGATGTTTTTTTATTTTTTTAAAATTTTAAAAAATGAAATATATTTTATCAATAAAATTATTTTAAAATATATAAATTTTAATTTTTAAAAAAAGGGATTAATTATATAAAAATTTTATAAGTAAAATTAATATTAATGACTTCAATTAAATTTATAAAAAAAAAATATATAATTTAATTTATAGTTAATTTATTTTCATTATATTAAATTATAAATTTTAAAAAAATTTGAAAAAAGGGATAAATTTTATAAATATTTTAGAAATAAAATTAATATTCATTAATTTAATTCTAATTTTTTTAAATTTGAAAATTTTTAAAAAAAAATTTGCACCAGCTGGTGGTTTTTTTATTTTTCTAAAAATTTTAAAAAATGAAATATAATTTATAAATAAAATTATTGTAAATTAATTAAAATTAATTTTTTAAAAATAAAAAAAGGATTAATTTTAGAAATATTTTATAAATAAAATTAGTATTAGTGAATGAAATTTTTTTTATTTTTGAGAATTAAAAAAAATAATTGTCACCTGCTCTTGAATTCAGTTGGTGAATGCACCAGCTGGATATTTTTAATTTTTTAAAATTTCCAAATAATGAAATGTAATTTATAAATAAAATTATTTTAATTTAATTAAATTTTAGATTTATAAAATTTTGAAAAACGGGATTAATTTTATAGATATTTTATACATAAAATCAATATTATTTAATTAATACTTCATTTATATAAATAAAAATAATTTTTCTTATATTTGAGAATTTAAATGGGCTGAAAAAATGAATTAATTTTAAAATAAAAATTCTATGATGTTTTAAAAAGAGTTCTTACCTTTTATTAGTTGCAGGCACCATGGAGAAACTATGAATGCTTTAAAAATGCTGGATGTGCTCCAGGTGAGCCTCTGGCACAAACCCTGGTTTGAAGTCGAGACTGAACGGGATGAAAAAATGAATTAATTTTAAAATAAAAATTTAATATGTTTTTAAATTGAGTTCTTACCTCTCATAGCCAGCAGGCACCAAGCAGAATCGTTGAGTGGCTTGAAAAGAGCTGGATGTGCTCCAGGGGGAGAGCAGTGTACATTCCGATATAATGAAAGGGGGCTACCTTCGGAGGAAATGGTACGAATGCGCTGAAAATACAAATACAAATGAATTAATATTTTTTAATTAAAACATTTAAGCCCCATCGAATTCATGACTAATTCGACCCCAAATTAACGGCCACCTTCGTTGACCCCCATTTGGCCGACAAATTACAGACCACGCCCCCTTTTTCCAATTAAATTCAAACCCCAATCAACGGCCACCTTTGCCCCCTCGAATTCCCGACTAATTCGACCCCAAATTAAGGGCCACCCTCGTTGAACCCCATTTAGCCGACAAATTACAGACTGCGCCCCCTTTTTCCGACTAAAATTCAACCCCAAATTAACGGCCACTTTTGCCCCCTCGAATTCCCGACTAATTCGACCCCAAAATAACGGCCGCCCCCGTTTACCCCGATGTAGCCCACAAAATAAAGACCACACCCCCCTTTTCCACGATTTTCCGACATTCGGGGCCATAAATTACCCGACAAGATTTACACCATTTTTCCTTTTCTTTGGTAGGCAGCCCACGCTTACTGGTTCAAATGCGGTTCGCGACAGTGTTGATTTTGACACTCCTAATCAAATTGATAATTATGCGGCTCGATTTCCGAAATTAAAGCGAATACACGAATTAGTTAAACAAAAAATTGTTGATGCTAATGAGCGGAATAGGCAATATTATAATTTGAGGAGACGTCCGGGTGATTTTTTGTTAGGTGATAAAGTGATGAAAAGGAATTTTGCAATTTCAAACAAAGGCTCAGGAATTTCAGCTAAGTTATTACCCTATTTTGTTGGACCCTATATTTTGAGAGAAAAGATTGCAGAAAATGTTTTCCGATTAGTAGACGAAAAGGACGAAAGAAAAGATATCGGTGTTTTTCATGTTCAGGACCTTAAAAAAGTCCCAGCACAGAAATAATTTTCTGCGAAAATTATTTTTGGTGGCAGGGGAGATGTAACAATAATTGGGAATTTTGATTTGGAATTATTGTTTAAAACTGAATATTCCTTTCTCAATTAATCCTTTCCCTTGAACACACAAAAACACAAACACTTTTATTTAAATTAATTTATTCGTCGTCAACATTTTATTCTGCGTGTGAGAAGTGTCGAGTGCGCGGTGCCGAGAAGAAGAGAGAAAGAAGTGCATTTGCACTCGCCGCCATTCAGTGCCCCCACCACCTGCACTGATAAAGAGCACACAGGTTACTCCCGGGTAAAGGTCTTTGACCTCGTGCCGTTTTGGTTTAGTCGCCAACGATCAGTGGTTGTGAAAACACCACCTGGCCTCTGCTGTGCCAGCAGCAGGTTGGCCGCTTCCTCTTGTCAATTGGAGGATACGAACGTTCTGCGAGAAGAGTCAACGTAAGTTGCTTTTCAGAATTTTTTCCTTAATTGGGCGGCATCCCGAATGGACCTTCTGGACCATTCCTTCCCTTATTTCATTTTGAAAATTGGGCGCGTCGACTAAACCAAATTCTTGTACAACCCAGGTGCCCTGTGGGGCCGTTGATTATCGCAACTGTCCGGCCCGGCAGAGCTGCCGTCCGCCAGCGTCGTTTGCGGATGGAGCGCTGTCGACAATTGCAGCGCTTCGTGCTCACGAGTGACCACCACCACCCCGGTCACCAACCACCCTCAGCCGGCGGTCGTCCGACCGAACACCAGGTCGACCTTCGAAGCACCGACACCATCAGGGGTCGCTCCCCTCGCCGAGACCATCTCGACACACAGCTCACGATGAGTACCTCTCGTTTGTGTATTTAAGTGAACTCGATCCGAACGCTCGTCGAGTGAAATTTTGATTATTTATTATATTTTTCCAAATTGATATTTTTTGTTACACATTACACTTTCTACACAAATTAGCCCCACCTACTAACCACACACAGTTAAATCACAATTAATTTACAAATACAAATTTCTTATTATTTTTGCATTGACTCGCTTTGCAATTAAAATCCGTTTAAAATTAAAATTAAAAATTAATTCTTTTCTTTTGCAATTTTTGGTTCTTTAATTTGAAATATACCTTTTTGTGCATCTTTTCTGAACTTGAGAATTAGTTTCTGAGCAGTTAATTTAAACTTCTGGATAAGCAGAACCCACACATTGGATCTGAATCAAATAGTAACCCTGAGTGT